AGCGACGCCTGTTATCAAAGGGGCTTTCTGGGTTGGAACCATTCTCTTTCCCTGACGATCGACAACAAAGTGAATCTAAAGTGTGTGTGCTGTGGTGTGTGTCCGTGTGTGTGTCGTTTGTGTGTGTGTGTGTGTGTGTTGTGTCTGAACAGAGTAACATATGTTGTTGTGCACTCGTGTCTAGTGTGACATGACAAAAAGATTAAGATTCCTTGTGTGTTGTGTCAAAGATTTGATGTATAGACAGAGGAAAACAGGACCAGACAGTGAGTGTGTGGATGATGCTGTGTGTGTGTTGTGTAGTTGTAGTTGTGTGGTTGTGTGGTGTGAGTAGTGTTGTGTGTTGTGGTGGTGTGTGTTGTGTGTGATGTGTAGAGAGAGAGATGACACCAGAGGAAATTAGATTTTGGTTTTTGTGCCTTTAATGCCTTTTAAGTCCCCTAATGGACAGAGACAATGGAGTGAGGGGAGGGGGCGTGAGGCACAAGAAGAAGGGTTGAAGAGAGGGACTAGTAGTGTTGGTGGTGGTGGAGTGAATGTGGGGGGGGTGAAGAGGAAAAGAGAGGAGAGAAAGCTAAGTTGGGTTACGGAGAGGGAGAGGGACGTGTAGTTGAATAAATAGGCAGGGGAGAGTTCAGAGAAGGGACAAAAAAGATAAAAACAAAGAGCAGAGGCAACTTGCATCAGACCATCAGATTTGAGTCCGGGAGATCATGGCACACAAGGACCAGCACACACACAACACACACACACAAACACATACACACAACACACACACACACACACTTTGTGTGTATTTTGAGGATTGTTATCTTTTGTAGCAGTCCCTCTGAGGAGCTGAATCTTGTTCATCACCACAACAGGATATCACAAGGATATCAAACTACTTTCTCTCCCTCCTCTTCATTCCCCGACTTCTTTCATCTACATTTGGAGTCAGTGTCAAAGTGTCAAAAATGTAAACGATTTATTTCAAAATAATATATCTTAAAATTTATGTCAATGAGGGTGTCTGGGTACAGACTGATCAACCATCCCAAAGGACAACTTTTTGTTTTTCATTTGTATCTCTTCACTATAAACTGTTTCATTATTCGAAAAGTTCTGAACTCTGAAGGCAACAAAGCATCAAGGCTGCCCATTGCTCTGTGTTTGTGTGTGTGTGTGTGTGTGTGTGTCAAGATCAAAGCAGGGCCTGTATTAACCCCATGTGCCAGTCTGGGAAAAATCAAGCCCAGCTGGGGTCAAGGACAGTGGAGAGGGGGGAACAAGTGTGAGAGTGTGTAGGAGCGAGAGAAAAGGGGGAGAACGGGAATGTGGTGGGGCTTTGAAGAGGAGAGAGGGACCAGCAGATACATTTTACAGTCTGTGTGTGCGTGTGTGCGTGTGTGTGTGTGATTTTCATAGATGGGAAGCCAGAGTTTTGTAGTTGTTGTTGTTGTTTTCTGGAGTTTGACTGTGATGTGGTTTGTTTGAGTCAAATTGTTCTGTTTATTATTGTGGTTAAAAAGACGTGTTGCCAAACACTTAAACAGCAGTGTGAGGGAGCTTACCTGAAACAGTGTAGCTGAGGGATCGTCCAGAATGGTTTTTGGGGGAGTGATGACTGAAAGGAGGTTTTCAACAAAAACAAAAAGGCTAGAAATTAGAAAGAAGGCAAACCGTCCTCGCTAAAATCTTAACTGAAGTCATTACTGATAGTGGGAAGTTAAACTGTAGTTGATTTAAGTTAAACAAACAGACAGAATAATGAGACCAATGTTTGCACATGAGTTATTTCTCAAACTGCAAGTCTTTCCAAAACAATATGACCATTAAAAATGAAATATAAAAAGATATTTCTTATTTTATAATAATAGTTTTTCAGTTATTTCAATATAAATTATGATAACTTTATATAATATTATATAAGTCAGCAGCTGAGATTTGGGAATGCAGCGGGAAGATAAACTTGAGCGGTCTGAGAATCAGACGGGCTTTAAAGAAACCTTCAGGTTAGCCAAACTTACGTGAAAGAGAGAAAGTGGTTTAGATAATCTTGGCTTGTTTACAACCTGTATGATTGTTTGATCACTCCTGTTTCTTGTCCTGTTGAACTTAATCGTCACTGTGTTCCCAGACCTCGGCAGTTATATTTGATGAGTAGAGAGCTAGATTGATAAATTGACCAATATTAGCTCCTCGCAGATGTAGTGGTACTAGTGTATATGTTGGCTGATAAGTAACAAATGCCAGTACAGCAATACTAAAGTAGATTTAAGATAGAAAAGTTTGCAATATGTAAAATGTCTCATACATACTTTTGATCACAAGTGCACATAAATATGGTTTCATAGCAAAATCATACCTTCACAAAAGGATCTACAGGAGGGGTGTATTGTTATGCATGGTGATTAATAAGTGGGGGAAATGAAATGACACTTACACAGGTAGAAACTGAGCTGAGGATCCTCCAAGTGACTCCTCACAAAATGCCTCACAGCACCAACTGGACACAAAGCAAACACAACACCTGCATCAGTTTCTGTGTGGAGTATAATTCATTTTTCAGATGGAATTTCCCTCAGATTTGTTGTTCTGCTGGTTGTTGTGTTGCTGTTGGGGCTGAGGTGGATCTAATCCCTGGAATTACAGACCTGTCTCATTCTTGCTGTCTCTCTGTCACTCTGGTGTGGCTACAGTCATAAATGTGGTGAGGGAGCCGCAAGTAGCTTTAACATTGCAGCCATACCTGTGGCTAGCCAACTGAAATGAACACTCCACACGGCGCGCGCGCACGCACACACACACAACAGACCTGTCTCCAGAGGCCTGAAGAAGCCTTGTAGAACATGTCTGTCTGGAAACTGGACCCTCAGGACCACCTGGAGACACAAAGGGGCAGCGGGTTATTCAAAGTCTGTATGTTTCACAGAAAAACACACATTTACAAACATTATTGTGATTATGTGTCCGTCACTCGTGCTCACTTTGGGATATTTTTCCAACTTCTCCTTCATCTGTGTTTCTCTCAGAGATTTAGTCATCAGCGGAGCCTCTTCCAAAAACTTCCTGCAGGGACGAGGGAGAAAGAGACAAGACGCTGTTATAATGAAACGAGCTGTGCAGTAAAAAAAAAAAGCAGACTGTGGAATCAACAATGGGAAAGCTGAGCGGAAAATGTTTCATCTTCTACCCTACTCGACTCGTGTGTGGCCGTGTATGCGTGTGTGCCTGTCAGAGGCACGAGACGAATTGCTGTGGTCGGCTTAATTCCACCCTTGGTAATTGCAGTCATTGACACGGTAGTAGCGTAGCCATGAGGCAGCCAGTTAAGTCAATGTAGACGGAGATTAAAGGATGTACGCGGTGAGGTCTCAACCTGACAGCGTTTGGCCGATGGCTGGAAGATAAACGTCTACACAGAACAGGCGTACTAATTGCTCCCTGTATGCCATATTTAGAAGCTTTTGTAGTGTGCGTGGTGTCTTTTAAATGAGAACATGTTTACAAACACACACAATGTCTCAGCAGCTGTGGTCTGCTGCGGCCACATCCAGAAAGCTCAGAGTAAACTTGTCCGCATCTGTAAAGAAGCGCTCATAAATAAAGGAAGACTTCAAACTCATAATAAATAAAATAAAAACTTCAAAACACACGCAGTGATGCCCGGCCTTCTCCCTGCCTATGGCCTCTCATCATTGCTATGGTATTCTGCAATTAAGGGTTATACATCGACAGAACACCGCAGGACCAAATGCCAAACTGACTAATTATCTGTTACAAACAGTGCAGGAACACATCTGATCCAGACGTGTTTCTGCAGCAATGAGGTATTTATACTAAATATCACACACAGTTCTCTGACCCCAAGTCACTCAACCGCTTCCAATCACTTCCTTCTCCCACCTCTCGCTCTTCAGCTGGGCGAAGCGCTTGCGCACATCATCCACCGTCACTTCAAAGAACTCATCGGGCAGATTCCCGTGGTCCTCAGAGTGACGGGACATCAAGTCCAGGTGGTAGATGAGAGGCTCCCTCTCTACTGGCTGTAAAGAGAGTGAGTGAAAGAGTGAAAGGATGGAGACATGTTTTCTAACTGTGAGGTGTATAAACCCTGAAGAGGTAGGCAGAGACGTAAAGAATTTATTGATGAAATTTATTGATATAACCAAGAAACAGTAACTCTACTAAAAGAACAATAAAAACAGATTGTGGCCAGACACCTGATTTGAATTCTAGCTGAAACAAAGTTATTAAACTACATAATGCAAACTGAAACATCCCAATTCTATTTAGTAATAGTATTGTTATGTTTAGTATTTAGTAACCCGTCAGGGAATCAAACCCTTAAATTAATGAGTTGCAGAATCATATTGTGTCTAAGGCAAACTGAACTAAACTGGTAACAGGTTTAAAGGTCACAAACAAAAGGGTTTACCTCCAAGAACTCCTCCCCCTTGTCCATGTCCTCGTCTGGCTGGTTGGCAGTGGTTTGACGCTGTGGAAGGAACAGAAAGTGCTACAATTTATATTAAGTTACTTGTTGAGAAACTGTTGACAGCTAAAGTTAGGATGAACTTTTAGTCTCAGCACAATCTTTTGTAATCCATAAAAATATCTGCAATAGGATAAGCAAAAACGACTTGATACAATTTCCTAAAGCTGACATACATTAATATATAACTCATATCTGTTTTTTTACATGATACTTTTCAATTCTAATTTGGACCACTTTCATATGTGGTCCAAATCAGATACAGGTCAGATTTCTTTGCAGTGTGACCTCAGTGTGAACAGTCAAATCAGAATTCATGTGACTTTTATGTCACTCTAGACTGACATTTGTCACACGGGTCACTTCAGGGCCCTGACCTGTTCACACTGGAATCTGATATGGGTCTGTTTAAATAATAATGTGAACAGCCAAACAAAAGAAAAAACTGAGCACTAAATCAGAGGAGTGTTATGGCTTGCAGTGTGAATGTAGCATAGTTAACCTAAGTAAGGAAGCACAATATGGGTGTCCTGGTAGGCTGATGGCTGATTATTATTCTCAAATAAAGGCCAAAATGAATCTGAGGTTAAAAGTTACTCTTGACCAAGATTCAATATCAGCACTTTCTCCATTTTCACTTCTCACCTTGGTAGCAGAACCGTGGCTGGATTTGGCTTTCTTAGCTTTGGGTGATTCTACTGCAGCAGTAACAGTTGACAGAGCAGAGGATGATGAGGATGAAGATAGTGACCGTAACACTGCACCTCCGCCAGGTCCCCCGAGGCGCTGACCGCCTCCAGAGAAAGGAATGAAGGGAACCGAGGGAGCGGCGGAAGAGGAGGAGGAAGAAGATGGGTGAGAATTCAGTCCTGATGGCCCTGGTTTCTCACCATCCTCCTCTGGCAGTCCTCTCTCCACGGGAGAAGACTTCGGCCGAACTGCATCCTCGGAGTTTGGAACCTCTTCCTGTTGAACAGGAAGTGTGCTTGCGGCAGAGGCAGGAGGAGGCGCAGCGGGGGTTTCCATTGGCCTATGGGGGCTTGATTTTTTTATTGTCACCTCCGTTGTTGACGTCTCCGGACGTGACGGAGCAGGATCGGGTTGAGATGGGGGGCTAGGTGTGATTTCCTTGGCAACAGGTACGGTTGGCACAGCAGCTGTTTCAGTGACTTCCCCACCATCTTCCTCTCCCTGTTTGTTTTTGAGTAAAAACCTTAAACCGAAATGGAAATAACAGCTTTATCATAAAGCATGAACTCTCAAGTCTACATTGTGTTTTTCTGTTTGTTCATATTGTTTTTACACGTTATTTAAATCTGCTTCAACACAGGAAACCTACCTGACAATGGCACTTCCTCCTGTAAGACCCAGAGACTTCAGAGTGGCCTTCTTGAGCGCTTCTTCCCCACTCACCTACATGC